GGAAACCCGAGGCACGAAAGATTCAAGACAGATCTTCGCTCCTCGCCGAAGTTTACCTATTATAAAGCTCTTTTAAGTGTTTGACTCTGCCCAAATGCTCTTGAATGAAATGCTCCATGCATGACAGCGGACTCTCAACTCCTCCACACGACGCAAGAATACTAGCAGCTTCCGCGCGCGCGGAGCCCCGCGTAGGAAACACACCACAAGACACCATGAAGTCGCAGCGTTCAGAGATCAGGAAAACATGTAGCTTTGACTTGAGGCAGCATCGTGCCAGCCTTCTGCCAGCCCATGCCATGCAAGCTGATGAACGCGCTGAGACGCGCGGGGAACACGTGTTCCATTGAATTGGGCGTGAAACACGTGACCCTTACTTGAGAAGGCTCCTCTTTGGCCACGCGGACGCTGTTTGGTCATGCTTTCAGTCTATGGTCAAAAAGAACACCTCAGGGCCTTGTATGGATTGCTTTGGCGATGTTTCATTTTAGGTTCCGAGATGTGCAAAGGCTTCACAGAGTGCTGCCTGGTCGGGGTCAAACAGTACATTCGGCCATATGTTCAAACTGTTGTCGTTGCTTCGGTATTTTGTCAAGTGTGTAAAGCAGAAAGCAAATTGGAAGAACCTTCAAGGGCATGCCTGTACCTCCCACACGCGTGGAAGATGTACTTGCTGAAGTCCACCAGTCTTGTTGGCTCTACTGGAGGGTGTGTTCAGCATCTCCGGTTTCGGAAGCCTTATGCAGTGCGCTTTTCACATCTTAGCCAAGTGCGAGTTCACTTTGACATTCTTACTGAGACCGCCCTTCTTCAGTGCAAATTGAGGGGATCCAGGATCCCGACGATCTCGACACAGAAGTTTGAAAACATACTGCATTTAAACAAGCACGGGGAATCTGAACACACACACACACACTCTCGAGCGCGAGCGAGCGTCTTCTTTAAATTCGCGCTCGCTTTCATGTGTTGCATGAATCCCGGCCCCTTTTACTCCGGAGCCAATAATACATGTTCGCACCATCTTGAGAAGCCAGGGCCGCCCCGACTCTCAAAAATGCCCTGGAGCTCTTAATCTGGTGGAGCCCTTAATGCAGTAATACTTAATCTGGAGGTTGCAAAGAGATCCCCCAGGATCCCACGGTTTCTTTCCCCTATTCAGCAACATGATTAATTTCTCGCTATCCGTTTGCTTGACGAAACGAATGCTGATGAACAAACCCAATACAGCTCACGCCCTCGAAGCGAGCGGAAAGTGCTCCTAGTTGTGAATTTGTGTGCTGAATGGTGGGGGAGGCAAAACATATGAAAGATCCAGGCAGAGTACATTATTTGCACGTGTCACATGCCAGCGATAGGCTGTCAACATGTGTCAACAACATGAAAGTCACAACACAATGTTGATGAAGTTCTCATAAAGAGCCATTGCCTGATTGAACATGTCACATTTGTCCAATTTGCCTTACAGTGGACATATCACCAAAATCGTTGGATCATTGGACCGCTTGCCACACCAATGCAAGCGTTTGGTTTCCGCTTGTGTTATTGGTCAAGTGGAGTGCTGCTAACTTCTTGCCGAAAACGAAAGATCCGCCTGACAGGTCCTGTTGGCTTTGCTGAAGCTTTGCAAGCTCGTTTGGTGTGCTCGACCAGTCCACCCTTCTTGCTGTGGAGCCTTGCGGTGGCGCCATGCCAAAGTCCAACGTTTGATAGGCCAAAAGACTCGTTCAAAGGTCAACTTTGAAGAATGACCTCGTCTGCCATGCGCAGTAGCAGTCAATGAGTCAATAAGTCTTTGAAGACTCAAGTGCTTTGCCCCTGGCATGGACCCTGAAGGTAACTAAGTAAACTCAGCCTTGTCTAAGGCCCTGGTTTGTCATTTGTTCATAAGACTTCAGAGGGAAGTGCCCATAGGCCAGGGCTTTTCCTGCACTTGAAAAGTCATTGTGTAGTGTCGCATTCATTGCTGACTGGCAAGTTCATGAAAATTTAAGCTCTAAGTGTCATACAAGTGGAAATTCACCTGTTCTTTGCTAAAAGCAAATGGCTTTCAAAATGCAAGCGTGTCCTTTGCCACACGAGCACGCTTCGTTTCTCATAGAACAAAAAAGGCCTCTTTAAGCAGATTCGCTAAGCCACATCAATTGTGTCAAGCAAAGTCATACCGTGTTAAGCGCAAGATCAAGGCATGCGACACAGGTAGCCGCACTGATGGAAGACACAAAGATCTCACGCGATCTCTGACCTTCGATTGCGCGCGCAGGATTCACATGTTGAATTGAAAGCCAGATACGCTCCAGCTTATACTCTACTCTGACTCTGACCTCCAGCTTTCAAAAGCTGGTTAACGTCAGATATTTAGAGCCTTGTACTGCGACCGAGAAGTGTCTTTTCGTGGAGCTCCAGAGTCATTCTGCATGGTCCGGACGTCGAGTGTCACCGGTGTCACCGTTTGCTCGAAGACTTGTTTCTGCCTCCATGTCACGCCGCGTCCGAGCTTGCCACGTGCACCCATGCCATGTCTTACCGTTGGAGATTCTAGTATTCGAGCCAGTCAGACAACATGGCCTCGCCGTGCCTCTCATCCTTGTCCCATGACGTTGTCAAAAGGGATCAAACAATCTTCCATGTACACCAATAAAGTGGAGTTCGTGACTGCAAAGTTTTCTCAAAGCGCATGAGCTTGCCAGCGCTTGCCGGTATCTGAATTATCACCGTGGGGTGAAACCAGCAGGATTTGGCAGTCTGTTTTGTGAAGTCCATTGTAGCTGCTATGAAAGCTGACCGGTCTCAAGCCGCATTTGGACAATCTAATTTTATGCTTTGAGGTGCCGCATTTGAAGGGCTAGAAGTATTCACACGCTTCTCGCTTTGAGGCTGTAACAATGCAAAAAGTCACAAACACGTGTTGGACCTCTTTGCTGCTCCTGGACTTGCGAGTTACTCAGTACCTCAAGCAGAGCATTAAGTATTCGTGAGTGTATACATGGTATTTTCTGCACGGTACCGAAAATGTTTGACCCCAACACTGGCAATGGCCATATTTCCGAAGGTCTCCAACACACAAGCCAATTGACATCACTTTGCGAGCTGAAACCCATGTGTGTGTGTAGAGACACAGACTCAGTAGCCGTGTCACGTGGCCATGACGTTTTCCCAGCTCCTTTGCAACGGCGACGGCAAAAGTCACTCCTTGTCATTCTGCTTTCAGGTCCAAGACCTCTTTGGGTAGATGCCTGCGTGACTTACCCAAGGGCTTCTGACTCAGCGCCTTTGCTTTTTGGAAGATCGGTCTCATGACCACGCTGAGACGAGTCCCATCCTGCGGCCCAGACCCGCAAGCATGAAGCCGCAACTGGGCAGTCTCGTTTCTTCGTTCAATCCCCAGGGTTTGATCTGAGGTGAACGGTTAGGGTTAGGAGGTTGACAGTCGTTCCACATCCAGCAATGCCTACAATGCATATTCTAAACGTAAAACACATTCTGCAACTAAAGGGGAACATGTCAGGCTTCATGCCGTGTCGTGTTGTTCGGCACGTGTTGAAGAAAATGGACTGTCACACATCCTGTGCCGAGCTCAGATGAGTGTTGGCCAAATTTCAGAAAAGACCAAAAGTGTTCCGATCCAATTCGGAATGTATTTGCTAAGGCCTTGAAATGTCCATAGCAGAGCTTGGGTTGCAAAGGGTAGACTCAGCTTTGATCGGATGGTGGAATGTATCAGTTTTGACGTTGCATGCAATGTTGCCCAGCCACCAACGGAGGTCCTTTTCTTTGTGTTTGTGTGGTTTTCCAGTCCTTTGCGGACTACGGCGACTCCGGATGACAGCTCCTTTTTTACAATGGAGAATCAAGTATGGAACCGTAACCGCACATCTCAGCATTCTCCCCAGAACGTGTCACGTTGGCAGATAGTCTGTCAGAACAGAATGCAAAAGTTTAGTGGATTTGACTTGACAACACGTTCGACATAGTTCTTGAAATTCAGAATGAATGCTCAGGATGTTTGTACATTCAACTGGTTGGCTCCTCGACCAAGCACATGCTGCTGGTGCCTGCTGCCAATCAGTTGATTGGTGCCAGAAACCACATGTGTTTGAAGGTTTCGGTGCAGCTTTGACCAAGAAGGGACGACTGCCCTCGTAAGCCGCATCGCCTGCAAAACTGCTGAGGTGACTAAATGTGACTCCGGGTCCGCAGTGAAGGACTTCACCCAACCGTTATCCATAGACCATTTCGCACATGCGAAAGCTACTTAGCACCTTGTCGCGCCTCGTGTGAGCTCTTTCAAACTCGTTTGCCTGTTGTGAGGTTCCAAAGCCAGGCACCCAGTTTCAACGATTTTCTCACTTGGGACGAGATGCCATTGGTCCACGCAAGGCGCCGTCCATTGGTCCATGGTTTTCTTTTTCCCAGTCGCGATGCCATGGGTGCTTCACTATAGTGGAAAGTAGCAGCAGCTTGCCCATGCTTGCCCCAGTCGCTGACCGTGCCTTCTGGCGCTTTCAAGGAATGCGCCGTCCTTCGTTTTAGGCAAAGGATTCCCTTTGAGCCCTTTGAGCAATCATCGAATCCTTTTATCTAGGCGAGGTATGTGATTTGGCAACTTCATCGGCCCGATTGAGTGTCGCAGGACCGGACCGTTGCTTTGAAATAGGCTTTTGGCAACTGCTCCGCAGCTCTGCATAATGTGCCGTCACGTTTGGACGCCGCCGTCTTCCTCTCTGCGGAACGCGGAGACGGTCTCCACCGGTCTCCACCGGAGCACCGTTGGTGGTGCGATGATGGCAGCGCACGCGCACGGGCCAGATGCGCCGGTTCTCATGAGCTTTCCCAGCTGATAGGGTAACAAAGGGCATCGCGAACCGAACGGAGCAAGGACGCTACGAACGTAGCTCCTGGCCTCAGTGCTAGTAACTAAGAAGCTATTAGTAACAAAGGGCATCGCTAGGGTAGGAGATCGAATCGACAATTCAGCTCAACTGAGCCAAACCCATGTCCAGATGACTTGGGTAGAAGGGGAGAAGCCTCGAGGACTCCCTCAACTGAGCTTTCCGAAAAAAGAACTCCAACTACCCACACGTGCTTCTTCGGGCTGCAGCCTGGCAGCCCCTGCGCTCCCGAGGCCTAGAAGTACTGAGTGGCTACGAGGTCCGGGTGTGAATGCTACTTGGGATTTGCAATCGAACATCTCTTACAAAAGACCTTGGAAAACGAGATGCGCCCGCAAAAGGTCCAAAGGGTTTGCAAAACCGCAGGTGTTTTTCACCCAGCGAAGCATGATCTATGAATCTATAGCTGGAGTTGTTCTTCAATCATTAAGTCAGCTCCCGGAGCCATAAACTTCGGCCGACATCGGCCAGTCATGAATTGCTGAGACGGCTGGTGTTCGTTCTGATTGGACTCAAGTATAGGTGGTGAAGCTGCGCTTCGCTGTGCAAGAAGGAAGTGTCCTGTGAGGTTGTGGTGGCTCCAACTACCAAAAAAACGCTCAAAAACGGCGTCCGCTGTAAAGACAACGATGCACACATGAGTTGCTTCAAGATGAATCCACAGACCATTGTTAACTTATTAAACGCAGCTCTTGCCAGTGTTTGCACTGCATTTCACCTCCATCAAAGGTGTTGTCATAATTGGACCTTGGACCTTTCTCAGATGGGCGAGGTACAAACAGCTTCGTGAGTCTTTCCGTCGAGGTGACACAAACATTTTCCTGATTTGTCGCTTTGGACGGGACGGATCCAAAGATTCAGAAACACGCAGAGGGTACACACACGCGCACACCCGCGCACATGCGCACGCACACTTTCTCTGATGCTTCCATGCCTGTTCGTTCGTCAGGCGGGTGACAAACGTGTGGAGAAAACCCGGAGGGTCGTGGGCAAGAATGGCAAAGACAAGAGGTAAATCCAAACGAGGGGGTTGTATTCATCAAGCTAGATGAGTAGCTCTGTAGCAGCTCCAGATGCAGCGCAAGTTTCTGTATCAATGCGTTTCTGTTTCAATGTGTATTAGGACACAAAGCAGCGGCTAGAAAGCAGTGTTCTGTTCTCGGATGCATCGGAAGACATCATTCTCCACCTGCCAGGTGAATTTGTTAGATTTTATCACAGCTGTCAACTCATGTCAACTCCACCGCCTTCTCCTCCTCCTCCTCCTTCGCCGCCTCCTCCTCCTCCTCCTTCCTTCGCTGCGAGCTCCAGAGTGCAGTGATACCAGACCTCAACCACGAGTGCTAGATGCCAGCGGGCACCACCGGACCTGAACTATGAGCTCCAGATCGCAACGGACACCACCAGACCCGAACTGCGAGCTCCAGATCGCAGTGGGCACCGCCGGACCTGAATAGAAGCCAGATAGAATGCGATAATATACGCCAGAAAAATTGTCCGGATAAATACAAAGAATGTCAGAAACATGCAAGATAGAGTGGAAGATATGCCAGAAGATATGCAAGAATTGCCAGAAAGACGGCAGAATAACTGCCGGAAAGTGCCAGAATAATCTAGAATATATGCAAGATAGAATGTCATAATATATGCCGGAAAGGCGGTCAGAACAAATGCAAGAAAGAATGGTACGAATGTTAGAAGATATGCCAGATAGACTGCCAGAACATATACCCATAAAATGCCGGGATATATGCGAGAAACAATGTCAGAAAATATGCCAGATAGATTGCCAGAATAAACATACTAGATTCGATAGAATTGCAAAATATATGCCATGTAGAATGCAAGAACGCATGCCAAATAGCTGCCAGAATGAATGTCAGAATTTATGCCAGATGGATTGGCACACCAGGAATATTGCCAGGACACATTCAGAAACCATGCCAGATAAAATGCAGGGCTTTATGCCAGACTGTATTTTCCACTTGCCAGATAGAATGCTAGAATGTATGCCAGATAGAGAGCCAGTATGCATGCAAGATAGACACTTTCTTGGTGATGTTGAAACAATACGGATGTCAGCAATATGCAATGGTAGGATCGCTCGAAGTATGCTTTCTAGGGTCGGAATCCGGGGGCTTCAGTCGTGTCCGCTGGAAAGTCGGAGTCAGGTGCCTTCTGAGTAGCGCTGTTCGTCCGCAACAGGGGTCAGGTGGTATCTCAGATTCCCTGCAATTTGGAAACAGAATTGTTCTTTGTATCCCATGGGTTTTTATTCGCTCTTGATTCTGTTCAAACTTTGCGCTGTGAACAAACCGTTCCCAGGCTGCCCTGCAGATGTATTCGTTGCGAAGAAAAAATCCGTCGAGCGGCTTGGTGATTCAACTTCGTTTGGTTAGGCTGAATTGGGTGCGTCCCTGTATTTGTCGAGTATTTGCATCAGTCAGTACACAATGATATATCACTATGAGAAGAGCCTGCAACCTAACCATCATTCACGGACCCAGGGAATAGGATGCGAATGAAATTCGACCTACTAAGTTCAAACAAAAGGCAGGGGTGCGCTGGCCCTACTGCCATAGGGGGCATTCTTTACTGAACACAGTTCCGAGCTCGGGACGCCCAGTGGAAGAAAGGGCCTTTGTTTAGCTGACGAATACCCCTCGCTATATTCTACATGGCTGTTTTCCCAGATGGCCTATATATATATTTACAATATATCAACAATTATTGTTAATATATATATATGTATATATTTGCATTCTAGACGCAAAACACGACGGTGTATAATCTTGTTCGGGTGCATATGTTTGCCTAGAAGAAATAATTTTAAAGTTGTGAATGTGTTTTAGGGTTGTTATTAAACGGTTTTGATGTTGTTTTTGCTTGCTTTTTCAAGGGATCTTTAAAAAGAACTGATTTTTATAGCCCTTTTACAAATTAATTTGGTGATCGATTTCGGATTGTTTTTTCCCTAAGAGGCTGGAACACAATGTTCTTTATCGATTCTCTATGTTCTTATTGCCGCCGCCTCTATCAAATTGATGGTAGGTTTCTAGTGTTTTTTTGAATATCGATTCCCGATTGCTTTTATAGCCCCTTTTTGGCTAGTACAAGGCGCCCAAGCGAAATAAACTAGATGCCATACAAAAGCATCAGCAGTAAAGAGCAGCAAGATCCGACAAAAAATGAGCCCCCCAAGTGCACTGCCACACCATTTTCCGTTCTGAAACTACTAGGTAGTAGTTGGAAATCGGCAAAGAAGGTGCACTTCTCCAAACCACCCAGAGACTAGGACGGGGATGATCTGTTGTATCCATCTCTGCCGACGTGAACTCCCTGGGAAGCCCCTGCCGACGTGCCCTGTAAGGACTGGAGACCGTTCGCGCACAACCTGAGGACGGAGATTGAAGGGACGGTGAAGGCAGGCGACGTTTAACGTTTGTGAGGCTTTTCACAACATGTTTCTACCAGGGTTGTAGGATGTTGTAGGTGACGATCGATGTTGTAGTAGGTGACGATACCTTGAATTCATGGCTGATTCAACCCGATTCAACTCACATGGAGAGAGCTACATGGAAGCTACATTGAAACATTACATATGAAACATATTTTGATTCAAACAACACATCACGGGGAGTGACCAATCCAGCTGGTCGGTATGAAGGGGCTTCATTGGACGAAATGGTATGGACGGGTCAGCTGGGTCAGCTGACGGGATGCCCTTGGTGATCCACATCGCCTCGGCTGCAAACGCCCTGCCAAAACAACTGACAGACAGTTTGCCATCAGAGGAAGTCCTCATGTTCTACACTTAAACCAGCTTTAATTAAGTGGGAATCGATGTTCTTCGCTAGAGGGCACACCCCGAAAGCAATGGTTCAAAGCTCACTCCCTTCAGTTGAACAAGTAACAAGTTCCTTTTGTCATCTGACCAAGTCTATAGTAGTCTGTTCTGTTCTTCCCGACGCGTCGATGCGGTCACGATTGGTGTACTTGGCATTCTGCCAGATACCCAAAACACATGTGAAGGTTCCACGCGTAACCAAATGAATGAAGCCTCCGCACTGCTAAAAGTGAAAGCCCATGCTGCAAGTTGGGCAGTCGAAACTCCAGCAAGTATGTGTGCAACACGAATTTTTTTCAGCCTTCGTGAAAAAGACCTTAGTTCCATTAATAATTCCGTTTGGGAGAGATCGTCCAATACTCTTGTTCCTATGGCGGTTATGTGTCCCAGGAATGACCTCCGCAGGTGAATACGAAGAATGACAGAAACCATGCCAGATAAAATGCCGAGCTTTATGCCAGATTGTATTTGCCAGATAGATTGCCATAATACTTGCCAGATAGAATGCTAGAATGTATGCCAGATAGAGAGCCAGTATGCATGCAAGATAGACACTTTCTTGGTGATGTTGAAGCAATACAGATGTCAGAAATATCTAATGGTAGGATCGCTCGAAGTATGCTTTCTAGGGTCGGAATCTGGGGGTTTTAGTCGTGTCCGCAGTCAGGTGCCTTCTGAGTAGCGCTGTTCGTCCGCAACAGGGGGTTAGGTGGTATCTCAGATTCCCTGCAAGTTGGAAACAGAATTATTCTTTATATCCCATGAGTTTCTATTCGCTCTTGATTCTGTTCAAACATCTGCGCTGTGAGCAAGCCGTTCCCAGGCTGCCCTGCAGATGTATGTATTCGTTGCGCAGAAAAAAACCGTCGAGTGGCTTGGCGATTCAACTTCGTTTGGTTAGGCTGAATTGGGTGCGGTGCGTCCTTGTATTTTTCGAGTATTTGCGTTAGTCGGTAAACAATGATATATCACTATGAGAAGAGCCTGCAACTTAACCATCATTTACGGACTTAGGGAATAGGATGTGAATGAAATTCGACCTACTAAGTTCAAACAAAAGGCAGGCCCCAATGCCATAACGGCATATTTGTATTGAACACAGTTCCGAGCTCGGGACGCCCTAACACCTCACATGGTCTGTGTAAGAGATGTTTTTTTGGTCAAAACAGTTGGTCGAGTGGCGATGGACATTAAAGAACCTTGTTTAACATGACGTTAAGCTCTGCAGTACCCTATGTGGAAGAAAGGCCCTTTGTTTAGCTGACGAATATTTTTCGTTATATTTCACCTGGCTATTCTCCCAGATTGCCTCTCTCTATATATATATACATACACTATATTAACAATTAATACTAATATAAGTGTCGGAAGCTTATATTGTTTTATGCAGACGAGTTTTTAAGAATGATTTTCCTTGCGTTCCTACCGCAGTCGCGAAGATTTGCGGAAGGTAAATTGGTGGCTTGGGGAAATTGGTAATGTATTGAATTTTGAAAAGAATAATTTGAGATAATGAATGAAGATATTATTTGTTAGTGTATTTTTATTTATATTTTTGAAAAATAGAAATTATTTAAGAACGTGAAGGATACATTTCTTATTT